CTTGGGAGAATTTTAATGTGATAATAATGGCTATAACAATATTATTACGTTTTTCTTTTCTTCTCACACCAGCTATTACGTTATTTTCTTCCTTCACGTTCGTACGGGGTTTGTAGATTTGGAGTGAATAACGACGACACTTGATGAAGTATCGAAACACACTTTATTAGCCAGTATTGTCAGGAAAGCTCCAAAAACACGTTTTACAGTCGTCGATGAACTACTATAAACACGCTGACACGATCAGCGACACAGACTTTAGGTTATCAGGCTATCACGGTGAAGACAGCTTCCTGCAAAGCACCCGACTCTGCTTTCCGGAGTACAGCTCCCGACTCTGCTTGGTCGTTCTTGGAACTCCACGTAGTCCTGAGACTCTCCACGCTACAACTCGCGATGCACTCGACGACACACGAGCACAGCTCCCGACTCTTCAGTTCAGTCGTCCCCGGAGCTCAACACGCTGTCTCGACGATGAACTAACCGCGAAACACTAAGAGACTCCTTCGGTGCACTCGACGACCCACTTGGCACTCGCTGGCCGGCTATCAACGCGATCGCTTCCGCAGGGATTGACTCGCTAGACGAGGCACACACACTCTCTATGAGAGACACACTCTCCATACTACTGCGGATCAGCAGAGTTTATATAGCTTTTGGCTTGTGTTCGAGAACATTCTGGGCTAAACCGGTAAGAATTCGTTTCAGAAGGTTCTCCAACCGTCCATGGGATATCGCCAATTTTGTCACCAAACGAGCGATTTATCGCCAAATGTGGCAACCCTGCCTTCCTTTGGCATTTTATGGCAACCCTAAAACTGCTTTGCGGGGAAGCCATCTCACCGCGCTTTTACATTTCGTAACAATATATACGCATTGGATGGGAATTAAATTTTGTTTTATAATACGTGCGCTATTACAATAGGCGCCGCTTAATCTGATCACGTTTGTCCACGGCTATTTTAATAGCATTGACCGAATGATGACATTAAACAATGTAAATAATATGCCTTTCAAAACAGCTATGGATTTAATTAATTTTATATAACTACAATAATTAGAAATATAGAAATCGATACTTTCATAGCATTTCAATCAGAAAAATGGATGTTTATGAATTGTTTATAATGTCTTTAATACGAAAGTTTATTTACGAACGCGTCTGGAACTATTTGACCGATGCTATTTTATTATTCTTAATACACGAGACAGCATCCTTACTGAAAGGGAATTTGCCAGTGTAAAATTTAAATTAATCTACATAAAATTATTGAAATCTACGTCAAGTTAGAATTTTTTCCTCTTTTTTTACTTAATTTGAAATGATTGACTAAAATCAAAACTAAGCTCTAATAATCTCTTATTTGGCTATATTTCTCTGCCATTTAAAATTTTGTTATCAATTCACTTATGAAATTTTTTAATCAATGTTATATTTACAGAAATGAATTGGTTTACAAATTTAATCTGAAAGTGTATAACATAATTTTTATTTAAGAGCGTATAACACAATTTTTATTTAATTATATATTTGTCTGATTGCTTCTTTTCTGATCTACACATCCTCCTCCCAACATATTGTTACGAAATGTACAGGCGCGGTAAGATGGCTTCCCCGCAAAGCAGTTTTGGGGTTGCCATAAAATGGCAAAGGAAGACAGGGTTGCCACATTTGGCGACAAAAGTGGCGATATGCCACGGACGGATGGAGAACCTTCTGCAACGAATTCTTGCCGGTTTAGCCCAGAATGTTTTCAAACACAAGCCGAAAGCTATATAACCCTGCTGGTCCGCAGTCAGTGTGTGTGCTTCGTCTAGCGAGCTGATAGTCATTGAGCGAGTGTCTCGAAATCTAGCGTCGAGCTGGTTGTCGAATGCATCGAGAGAGTCTTTTACTGCATCGCGAATTAGTGCATTGTCGAGTTTTGTCTTAGACTGAGTCGAGAGCTATACTCTTGTCTTGTGTATCGTCGAGCGCATCGCGTGGAGAGTCTCGAGAGTACGTGGAATCCCACGAACGACCAAGCGAGTCGAGAGCTGTACTCTGGTGCTTTGCCGTGAAGCTGTCTCCACCGTGATAGCCTGATAACCCAAAGGCTGTGTAGCTGATCGTGTCAGAGTGTTTATAGTAGATCTTCGACGACTGTAAAAGTGTTTTGGAGCTGTCCTGATTAATATTGGTAAATAAAGTGTGTTTCGATACTTCATCAAGTGTCGTCGTTATTCACTCCACCCCGTACGCAACAACGGGTGTCAGAAGAAATAAAAACGGAACAACTGGTGTCAGAAGTGGGATTTGCGAGTGAATGCCAGTGACCCGCCTGCAGAGGAAAGCCATGGCGGAGGAAACGAAGACTTTGATGGACTTCTTAGCCGAGATAAAAGTCGGATACGCTGAGATAAAAGCCGGATATGCTGAGATAAAAGCCGGATACGATGAGATAAAAGCTGGATGTAAAGAGATAAAAGCTGGATATAAAGAGATGGCAGCTGAGATGAAAGCCGGACTAGAAGAGAAGAAAGGCCGACGAGAAGAGATAAATGGCGGCCAAGAAAAGGGCGAGAGCAACTCCAACAGGCGAAAGTGGAGATTAAAAAAACCTGGAGCCATAAAAGACGATGTGGATATGAGAGAAGTGGCTTCTGAAGAATCAAAGGGTGAAGTTATGAAGTAAGTAGATAATGAACTGTTAAGAAATGAAGGATCAAGAAATGAAGGATCAAGAAATGAAGGATGAAACATCTAACGGGATTAAAGAAACAGAACGAAAACATGAAGAAATAAAAGACTCTCTCGATGCACTCGACGACCAACTCGACGCTAGATTTCGAGACACTCGCTCAATGACTGACTATCAGCTCGCTATATGAGGCACACACACTGATTGACTGCGGACCAGCAGGGTTTATATAGCTTTCGGCTTGTGCTCGAGAACATTCTGGGCTAAACCGGTAAGAATTCGTTCCAGAAGGTTCTCCATCCGTCCATGGCATATCGCCAATTTTGTCGCCAAATGTGGCAACCCTGCATTCCCTTGCCATTTTATGGCAACCCTAAAACTGCTTTTCGGGGAAGCCATCTTACCGCGCCTGTACATTTCGTAGCAATATTAATGTAAATCCTGAACAGCGCAAGTTTTCAAGAAAGTGTTAACCGCAAATCTCAAGTAGCCAATCTTACGCAAATCATCACTTTCCACTCCGCAAGTTTTGCTTTATTTCTTGTTGCCCGAATCAGACTCCTTTAAACTCTTTATTAAGGATTATATAAAATTCAACCATATATTTTCAGTTGTATTTGATCGCTGAAGCTTTAAAGCATCTGGAACGAGAAAATAACCTACTTTTCAGCTTTCCAATGCTTAACAGTAGCTTTTATTATGCAAATATATTTTCAAATCGCATGATATTCTGTGATAACGTGGATTTAAAAAAGGGCTAATTATAGTTGGACTTTTAAAATTTTAATGACATACACCTCTACAATGAAATTTATTCCTAATAATGTCAGATGACCTTTTTTCTTAAATACCATATTCCCTCGTGTAGTTTCTCCTTATTTTTTAACTAATTTTATCGTCTGAAAAATCGAGAGGCGAAAATTATGTGAGCCATTTAATTTCCGCTCAGATCTTTTGCAGTAAAACATAACAAATGAAAAGTAGTCATAGATAAACCACCGATAACTATCACATTATCATTTCTTTAAACGAAACCTACATTCCAGTAAGAACACACAGAAATATTAACATTAGAATATCTGACGGTAACTGAGCCGGATACGTCACGCAGGCTCGGTTACCTTGCTATGAAGCCCCAGAGGCACATCACATGAATGAATCTTGACCGCAATAAAGAGCGACATCGCAGGAAGGAAATAAAGAAGAGGTGAGTAAAAGAGCTGGATTTTGAAAGACTGAATACATCAGGAGTAGATAAGGCTACAATGAGCTGCAACGTAAATAATAGGAGTAAAGTGAAATCATATGATTTGGAAAGTTTTTTATGTATGGAACACCTACCGCATCCGGGTAGCTTAACGAAGAATCTGTGCAAAATACATTTCAGGTAATAAATGTAAGGTAAAAAAATAGATGAAAACCTAATATAGAAATGAAAATACAAATTGTTGGTGTTGGTGTATTTAATTATGGCAAAGCACACTAGGGCTATCTGCCTAAGGGGGAGGGATGCCTTTCGTGGAGGACTTTCTAAGGGAAACTGGCTCGTATACACGTTACACATGGGGAAAACCACGAAAACACCCATGCAGCCAGCCCGTTCGCGGGATTCGAACCTCGGACCGAACTACCAGTGTTCAGCGTCTTTACCGCTCGGCCGCTAAAATACAAATTGAATACATTGAAAACAAAATAAAATTGACCCTGAGATTGCAACATACCAATAACCTACCTTTCAGAGTAAAGAACTATGTACTACGAAGGAACGGAAAAAGTATGCGGGTATTTTTAAAATTTTCATAATTCACGCTAGAAAAGCTAAGCAAGGGGGAATGCACGAGGAAATATGGTACTTACCAGAAGTGTAACACTGTTAACAGAGTGAATCGAAATGCATACCGAAGGATTAATTACACGAGAATTTCACAGGATTGGATTGCTGATTGGATGGTTGCATTTAAATTAGGTGTTAACGTATTAATACAAGTTAAATATTCCGTTTCAGATACAGTGAACTGGACTGTCGCTGCTGTTTATCCTCATTGTCGCAGTAAAGGTAAGTTATGATATTAACTCCTGTAGATATTTCAAATCCTATGTGCTTATTTATTTCCATCAAAATCTCTGAGATCACTGCATGCATATTAATTTTATGGTATTTCGTTCCTGTGACTGCGCATGCCCCCTTAGTAGAAAATCGCTACTGTTTACTGATGTAAGTGTTGTAACTAATTGACTAAAATGGCGATATTTGAGGACTTCAGTTTTTCTCTTAAAAAGCAATAAATAAAATAACAAAGATAATGGATGTTTACTTACTGTAACTACAAATGGAACGTTATTCACCATCTCTAGAATAACGCTGTATGATAAAAGCTGTTGCCATACATTTCCCTACAAATAGACATTAGAAATTAGTTAGCTAGCACAAAAAGCAAAGTCGAAGGTTTCTTACATTTTTTTAAAAAAAATAATACTTTTAAATCACATATCTCTCTAAGAATATTTCATTAGAATTCAAAAATGAGATTAATAAATTATATTAAATATGTTAAGTAATATGTAAAACGAGATCTGAAAAGTTTTAAATCAGATCTAAGATTTAAGTATCTTCAAAGGAATTATCAAACGCATTATACGGAGATACATAATTCCTTACATTATAACTTAAAATTGTATTCAATAATACTAAAATTATTGCATTGTAACTTAAAATTATCGAACATTTAAGTAAACATTAATATGTGACACACCTGCTGATAAAATTCATTAAACAGCTTGCTAAATTTGTCAGATTGGAACTAAATTTGATTTAATAAATTCTCTCATGTTCTTGATATGTACTCTTTAAGTTAAATTTAAAGCAAAGAATATTTTGAGAATACTTTATAAACACTTACGGGAATTTGTCTAAGAAAAGCTACTTTTAGATGCTTACCTTATATCCTAAATATGCAATAAGTAAGGCCTCTGATAAGCTAATTACAGACAGCGACACCTGGCGGAAGAAAGAAAACACTGTTATATTAAATACTGAATGGTTAATTATTTTAATTTTAATAATAATTCTTTTAATACATAATATAAATTTATTAACTATTACTAGAATTTCCACGCAGTACTGATAATGTTCATTCCATAGAATTTCAACCTAAGGTGATCATTTTACGACAAAGACTTGATGGAATTTATTTAACATGAATTTGATAAAAGCTAGAATTTTTTAACATGAATAAAAGGAAAGTGTATTCACATTATTTGAATAATTTTGTTCCATAAAATATTCTGAATTTTACTGCAACCTGAATTGTAATGCTCTTAAATACTGTTACTTACTGAATTGCAATACTTTTTAAATTATCTATATACACTGAAATAAACTGAATAATTTCAATGTATTCTACATACACTGAAATAATTCCAATGTAATTAATATTTCGTAGCTTGCCATTAAAATTGGGGAGGAAAGTCTACATCTCGAACTTTTCTAGTTTTAAGTGGATTTCACTTCCCATATACAAGATATCTTAAAATTTCACTGAAGGTAAAATTTTCGGTCAAAATTTCGATTTTTACTTTATTACATTATCTTAAAGAATACATATTTAGCTATCAAATATGAGTTTTTGCTTGTTGATAGGTTAATTAGAACTGAAGTTATAAGCATTTTTCTGTAACTGAATAAAGCGGAAGTTCCAATATTCTGGGCCGGAAGTGAGCGTTTAAATAGATATACCTATTTAGAAACTTTATTTATCAACAAGATTTTGTAAATTATAAACCTGCATACTAAGTTTAGATATTTTGTAATACATTTTAAGAATCTGGTGTTAGTTTTTTTCCCCTTAGTTTCGTATTTTAGTTTGGCGCAGAGGCTATTCGACGTTGATATGGATGTGTTGCTGCTTTGTCGAATTAGCGTTGACAAAGTGCTTGATTTGAAAGCTTATGTCACATTGTTTGAATCATTTGCAACAAAATAAACAGAATGTCATGCAATCTTATGCACGAACATATGTAAAGCGTAATATAATTGTTCTGCAAATTATAAAGAAGCAGCTTCGGGTATGGAAGCAGTTGGTGCTTATTCCCTGTTTGAATGATCTATTACATTACGAAAGCTGAAGCACACGGAGTATTACGAGGATGGGGATTCTAAGGGGTTTTTAATTGTGAAAGATATATATGGTAAAGATTCAATCAAGAAAGTGGAATACATTGAAAACGTACAGAAAAGGGTTGGTAGTGGACTACGAAAAATAAAAAACTCCGCTCCTGAATTGAAAGGAAAAGGTAAACTGACTGATTCTTTTATTGATAAACTGCAGAATTAGGGATTGCAATTAGAAGTACATGTTTGAAACTTAATTGAGATGTAGCAGGTTGTACTAACTGCTTGTTCCATTGTAGCTCTTCTTCGAAGCCAATGCCCTCCTCAATAGTCAATGAATTGGTGCAACTATGAATGTGTGATTGCAGAAATCAGGAAAAAAAATCAGAAAGAAAAAAAAATTAGGCAAAAACCTCTGGTATATCAATATATATTTTGAATTTAATTAAACCTACATATATGGAGTTGACTACATAAACAAGGGTTATTTAAAAAAAGTGTCATGCATGGCAAAACTCAAAATATCAAGGAACGTTTTAATGGTATTTTATTGCAAATTGTTCCGAAATAAAGCATTCATAAACTTGCGAATATTAATGTTTGTAGCAAATGTAAGTGTTGGGTTATTTAATGTTATTTAATGATGGATTTATTAGGTTTGCTTGAAGCATTTTCAAGGTTAGGTATTGTTTCCTGAATTTTACACTGAGCAGGGAATTCGAAAAACTTGATAAAGTGCAAAATCATGACTCTTGGAGGCGGCAGCATTCCACAAGTTTTACAAAAACCCAAAGAAAAAATTAAGCTTTGTTCGAAAGAAAAAGTGCAAAGTGTGTGAAGAAACAAACAAACAAGGTGTTCAAGTTACAAAGCAAGTGAATTTTAATTTATCAGGGATGCTTCTTTCACTGAAGAAATTGTTTTATGAAAACTTTAAACTTGTTTTCAGAAAAATGTTTTTTTCTGTAAATATTGCCAATGGCAACAGCCGTAACTCAATATTTTATGGGTCAAAATTAAATTATACTTTCTTATACATGTTTCATATAATCTGATTCATGCTCTGAAGCGGAAGATTTTAGAAATATTAATTAGAAGTTTGAATTGTTACTATTTTTTATTTTTAGATTTTGGATGCAATAATAGGAAAATATACAGTAAATACATTTTGACAATATCTCAAGAATATATGAATATTTCTTAATTATTTTGCTTCATTGCATACAAAACAAGTGTAAATATAAATACATATTTAAAAAACTGCATATTTATATATACATTGTTCACCGTGGTTGTTGCCGTAAAGGCAAAATTTAAGCAAAAATTATCCTTTTTTTCCTAATTTTTCAAAATTAAAATTACTTAGCATTACGTTTTAAATTGTTTTCACTCATTAATATGCTTATCTTCAAATTAATATGTTTTAAAAAAATTTAAAAAAAAATGGTACCCGAACGAGGTCGGATACCTTAAAATGAGTGGAAGTTTGAGAAGATAAAAGAATCAATGTTTGAGACAACATATATAACAGTAGTTCTCAATCCGTTTTGTCCCATGCACCCACTTCACTATCGATAGAGGATCCTTCCTTCCCTCCTTTACAAAACTCCAAAAATACATATATACATAGATTTACACTATTTTTTAATGTGTTTTATATATATTAAACAACAAAATGTTATAGCCCTGTATTATATTTAAAGAGATTAAATAATAAAGAATCTGCATAAATGTATGTGTTTCTCGTGTTGTGAAAATCAACGATACCTAGCGCCATCAAAATTTGAGTAACGTAGTTCCCCACCGATATATGGGCACCTGGAAGCCCGAATCTTGAATTTCGAATTTGTTTTATTATTTATTTCCTATTTTCAAACTTTAACGGATTTTAAGAAACTCCTTGATGGTTTAATAAAGTTTAATAAGGTATTTAATAAGGTATTTCTCCTGCCTTCGTGGTGTAGTAGTCTGCACGCTCAGCGCGTAATTCAGAGGTCCGCGGTTCGATTCCTGGCGAAGGCGTTGCATATTTTTCATATTTCCTACTTCCAAAATACCTAATGTCTCTAAAATTCAACGATTTCAAAGCGAGCAGTGGCAACACACTGTACGGAATAAAATATTTTATCGCCAGCGCGCAAGATAGCCTATCGGAAATTCTAAAGATATGCTGTTTTTAAATATTTTTAGCTCAAAGGGTAGTTAGCCCAAATGCTCTCGAAACGTCTATATATGTGTAAATGAATAAACGCCCTTTTGGGTGTAATATAAAATCTGAAAGTTTTCAATTTTTTTTTAAAATTTTCATTTATTACCAAGTTAAATCTAGGACTTCAAAACGAGAATTTAACAACCATTTGTTTCTTTGATTCAATAGCTCTGGAAAATGAGAAAATAATAATATTTATACTGGAAACCGGAGCTCACCGAGGGGTCTCGACCGCCCAACGACTCTTATCATTGCGGACGATCCTTAAATACATAGGGATATAAAAAGAATGAATCTGAAAAGTGGTCTGCATTGAAGTTTATTGTGTTAAAAGTTTATTGTGGGAACGGATTTTCAGTAATCAGCTCTCACTTAGTCCAAATGCTCTCGAAACTAAGACAGTTTTGACAAAAATTTTTGACTAAAGACATTTTTGACAGTGCGTGTTTCAGTTAATTATATATTTGTGTTGACAATTGGCATGGTGATAATTCTAGTGAGTGGAGTCCCAGAGAGATTTCCACCCCAGGTCTCGAGAGCTGTAGGTCTGCCATTGAAATGACATAGTAATATACGAGTACATCTGAAAAAGGAATGAACCATTTCATAGACACTTGACTATAGGAAAAATTTTAAGGAATTCAAAAATGGATACTAGGTCCATTTCTGTCTGACCCGAATTCTGTGGATAATAGCGATATTAAAAAGAATCTTACTGAAATATGAGTCAAAACTCACATTCAAGTGAAATAGACACACTGGTAGTGAAATAGACAGTTCTGGTGCGCACTATCTGTCCAGAACATTTCTGGTGTACACTATCTGTCCAAAACGTTCCGAGACGGGATTAATAAAACCACAGAAAACTTAAACTGAAGATTTTATGATTCAGGTATTTTATACAGTCTTCTTTATTTGAATACAACGCCCGTTGACTGCCAAGTGAGTTTACACGAAAATTTGCGTGCCGAGCGCGTTTACACGAAAACCTGTGTTAAGGTACGAGCTCTGCCATGCCACTGTTGTTTCTAATCGTAGGAGTTTAGATTGTCAGGAATGAACGTTTCGGGACATGTATTCAGTGAACATGTTTTCTCTACAACGAAGTAATCAAGAAAGCATGTGACATTCGAAAATAATTTCTTCTTTTCCAAATACTTTTTCTGTAACGAATGGTTAAGATTTTTTTGAGTTAAAACTTATAAGGTATTTTCTACTTCATTTCCTCATGCCTTCGTGGTGTAACGGTAGCTCACTCGGCGCGTATTCGAGAGATCCAAAGTTCGAGTCTCGGCCAGGGCACTGCACATTTTTCACGAACCTGCTTCAAAATAACCTGATGACTCTACAAACTGTTGCGTTAATTTGTTGGAATCCCAAAAGAAAAAATAGACGAATTATTTCGTAGTGAACCATGTAACAGTGAAAAAGAAACCTGTTACGAAGTTTACCGAAATTTAGATAATAGTGATAAGGAACAATCGAGATTTTTCAGAAACTGTTGAGATATTTGTAATCGCATTCTTACTGGTTAAAAGGAAGTATAGCTTTCTGTCAAGTCCGAAACATTCATTAGCTTTCAGCCAGGTCCGAGTTATTCTGAAACTAAATCCCATTCTGCATGTTATTTTTGATTGGTTTATTTATTGTGTCTTGTTTATGATTTGTTAAACCATGA